TCCTAGTTACTCCAAAAGTGAGCAGAGAGGTGGGGCGTGAGTGGATCTGAGGCAGGGTCATGGACTGTCCTGTGGCGGCTCTTAACTGCCTTTCAAAGCCTTAATAATGCGGATTTTTAGGCCTTAATACAAATTAAACAGGAGAGTTATATGAAGATACACCCTCTGTGCACTTATCATTGAAGAGAAAATTAGCCAGAGAGACCAAAACCATTTTTATACCGGCTGGTGAACGTGCTTTTGTCTGCTGTAAAGTCAGACATTTTAACATTGGGGTCGATGGAGCTGGACTCACTTTTGGAACAGCTACAAGTGGCCAATCGAGGAACTGCAGTTTTTTTGGCACTTGTGTGTTTGCTTCCTTTTTCAGCCCTGTGATTGCTGCTTGTTTCCACCACAGCTGCTGACCAACATCAACAGGCATTCTGTGCACAATAGAGAAGGAACAGCAGCAGCCCAAATACCTTCAGGTCTGGTCAGTCATACAACAGAGCTGAGATGTATTTCAAGGTATCTTGTTTAGGTGGTGATCATGCTAATGATCTCATCGTGGGAGGTTTGTTTCAGTTGGATGATGCTCTGAATATCAACGATTATTTTAGAAAATCACTTTTAGGCCGAGAAGTTACCGACCTGCGTGAGGAGCAAATGATTGTGTCGTTGTTCTCCAATAAACTCTGTGAACAGGTATTCTATTAGCTTCAAATCAAGCAACACACTTGATCAGATCGTCTGTGAAGATTCTCAGTCATCCAGGTCGTGGTTATTCTGGCAGATTAATCATATTAACTGGACTTGCTTGAGTTCCTTGAAGACGTTCCACCTCTCATCCAAGAGGCTTCATCAGTTCTGACAGACTTGCATCTGGAACTCCCAACTAGTCAGTCAGAACTGATGAAGCCTCTTGGATGAGAGGTGGAACGTCTTCAAGGAACTCAAGCAAGTCCAGTTAATGTGATTAATCCACCAGAATAACTTGATCAGGTCATTGTCTTGACTTGTTTCCTCTGGTTTGTTGTCATGGTGGAATATTCCTCTTCTGCCAAACTCCTGCTTCCTGAGAGTCATCGTGTCAGTCAGTATTTTGGTATATCCACAGCTATTCATGGTGCCATCTGTAAATGTCACCTTCCAACTTCCTTTTGCACTCGTGCAGAACCCGTATCATCCCACCTCCGTGCTTCACTGCCAGGACTGTGCTCTCACTGTGGCAGCCTCAGCCAGGTTCACATCAAATATGCTGAGTCACACGAATTATTCTCCGTCTCATCTGACCGAAGAATGTGCTCCCACTATCGATCTGACTTCTTGCCCTTCAGAGATCATTCAATTCATTCCATAATGTCTAATCCTGATGAAGGCGGGCGTCAAGCTTAATGAGTCAGAGTTTGTCTGTGTGGGTACGGCACCGTCCCCGGCCTCATCGACAGACACTGCAGCTCTGATTAGATCCACATTTGAGAACATTGTGGTATTCACGGGTCCTTTTTTCAACCATGTCAATGCATTCAACCCAATTGGAAATCACAGGTTTTGTTCTAGCCTGTGTACCAGAGATTATTCAGTCTTGTTGATCCATATTTCTACTTTATTTCTGCAACAGCTTTTCTGAAGTACTTGTTTTTGATTGTTTATAAGAGGAAACCCTCTACTGATCAACTTAGACATAAAACAATTAATAATAAACAATTTTGAATCCACTGACAGTTAAGAGATATCACACATTAGTGTATTCACTTCTGTTGTATTCCTGAAGTTTAGCTTAATTTAAGCACCATGAGTAATGTAACTTCATAAATCTCAATTCAATGACTAACTTTTAACTAAACATTCAATAGTTACTTAATGAAAAAAGCTTTAGGATCAGCGTTACGTTATTGGTCATGTGATCACACAGACACTGATGGAACAACAAACTATGATCACATTTGTACCAGACAGTTTTTTGTCCTCCTACACCAAGCTCATAAATCAGACTCAGGTGACACGAGGGGGTTATTTTGAATTTAACGTGCATGATTAAATAAATGTATTTGTTTTGACAACACGCTTCTGAATGCAGCTCGACCAGTAGCGCCAGGCTGCTGCTCCACTTTATTATCTGGGTCACATAAACTCCAGTTCTGACATCTGAGCGCAGAGACGGAATCAGTTCTGTTGAAGTCAGACGTGAGTAACTCCTGCTCACTCTGTTCTGTGTGCCATCTGAAGTATCTGAGTGTGTTCGTATGAAGGATTTCTCACAGACAACGGGTGACTAATCAAAGCAAATTTAAATTGGATATCCGCAGCGTTGCACCACAACAGCATAACTTCTGGCTTCATGTCAAGCATTGGCTGAAGTTTATTAGCATTACAATAAATCATTCTAATGAAAATCTACACACTGTAGTGTAATTAAAACCTCGCTGATGTTGTCTCTTTCTAAAATAAGACTGCACCTGTTAGTTTAATTCACACAGAAAAACACATGAATTCATTAAACCTGGCTGTTGGTCAAGCAAACACCTAAAGATCACGTGTTGGGGAAGATTAGCTGTCGCTCTGGAGAAGTTCAAAGGAGCCATAAAACAAATGAGCTAAAATATGAAAGGGCTGTTTTATTGAAGGCATAAATTAAAGTCATAAATCTGTTAAAGTCAAACGGTCCGTTAACTTTTTGCCTCTGCACGTCTGCACAGACACCGAATGTGAGAACAGCTTATATGTAAATGTGTCACTAACAGGAACGCCTGGCTGAGCATGCCACCACATTTACTATCACCACACAAGTTTTAGACAGTGTCACAACCCAGCAAATAGGTTGTGGCAAGAGAGGGGAGACGACACAGGTGTTGTCAGATTTTAAAGTTTTATTAGTTGGTTAAATTAATTTATTCAAAGTGAGGTGTGTGTGTCAGTGATGTCAGGAGTGTGGGTGCGGATGTCTGGATGCCTGGTGTGATGTGGTGCGAGGTGTTGTAGGATGTGAGAACCAAACCAAAAGAACACAAACCACAAGTCACGGGCATGAGGAGAGAGAGAGAGCCCAGGAGCTCAGGGGTTGGCCCTTTTATACCTGGGAGCGCTGGGCCCGAGCGTGCCAAGCAGGTAGGACCGCCCACTCAGTCTCCAGCAATCTAGGGACCTGAGGAAACAGCCAAACAGCCGAACACAGACAGCCAATGTACCCAACCAACAGACTAGGTGGGGCCGTCACAACATCTATCAGACATATGAAATGAATATGTGTGTAACCACAGTCAGAAATACACTTTAAAAGTGACCACATCTGTCACAATGACAATGTTGCCACACTGGAGAGCTAACGAATGACTGTTAATTAATGTATTGCTAATATATTATATACATCAGTATCAGGACATGAAGTCACTGTTCTTTCTGGAAACTTCAGAGCTCTAACCTCTAAAAGCCTCCTCATACGGTTTGCAGTTAGTGTTTTTTAAAAGGCCCGATTGTGATATTTTGTGATTCTGATTTCATGTTCTAGATCAAATTGATATCCTGGACTCTGGTGGAAAGTCATACAAACAGCATGTAATCATTTTATTGTGTTTTATGGATCCTGAAGAAGCGCTCTTTCATCTTGCCTGCACTACTGTGTATGTACAGCAACATGATGATAAACTTGATTCGATTTGATCTGATTAGTGAGATAAAATTTACAGAGCACATTTTTTGACAGTTAAATAATGAACAGCTGATCTATTAAGAATATTTTACAGATGTTACGTTTTGGTTGTTAGTTTATTTGTTCTCTCAGGGGAACAGGGTTGCATTGTACGGAGTAATCTCGGCTTGTAAGCGCATCTCTAAAGTCTGGTCCACCTCTCATGTGATCGATGAAGGAATCTGTAACAGGTCTTCTACAATCTACAGATTTTTATAAAAGGCAAACAAAAAGGCAACATGAAAAGGGCTTATTTTTATTTTTTCTTCATTTTGAACCAAAAATTTAAAACAAAAGTCAACATCTGATTCACAAAATCAAAGTTTCAAAGTTCAAAAACGGTTTCGGAAGAAGTTGAACACTTCTATATACCAAAACCTTTATGACAAGAACAGCTTAAATATTGACACTTTCACAATGTCTCATCAGAATATTAAGCACATTACACAACACACATTTGTAATACCTTCTGGAAATAAATCATAATTCAAAATATGTGAAAGAAAACCTTTTACCATTATTTTTGGTTTCCAGTCATCATTGTCTGAGCATTTGGGAAGATTTGGACTCATACTGCTTCAAAATGTCTAAATGTGGCACTGGCAGTTTTGTATATACACATTTATGTATGTACACTGGTGTGTTTGGAGTTGAGTGTGTTGTAAACTCCAGAGAAAGAGTAAATTTTTTTAATGAGTTTTTCAGTTTTCAATCATCCTCAAATGTATTCCTACCCTCCCATTAAAGAAGGAAAAAAAACAGGTGTCACTGAAATAAGCTGAAATAAACAAAAGTAATAATAAATAAAAATGTAATGAAAATCATGACATTACTTTTGAACTGTGGTTCAACAGAAATATAAAAAACAAAACGAGCAAACAAGCATGATGGACCCATAAAGTAACATTTAGTTGAACAACTCTTTGAGACAATCACTGCCATCAGGTGTTTTCTGTAACTCTCAGTCAGACTTCTGCACCTGTTGACAGGTGTTTGGATTTCACTGCTCATCGGCAAAGTGCTCTAATTAGTCTAGGACAGTTTTTTTGTTTGTTTGTTTGTTTGTTTTTAATTATTCTTTTCAACCATAATTCAAAAGCAATGTCTTATTTCACTAAATTATAGTTTAGCATTTAAAAAAATATATATTATTGCTTGTTTTAGTCTCTAGTTATTGGAGTGACTACTGTGAGTTTTGCCTTTTCTTTAATGGAAGAGTCTGAATGAATCTGAGTATCGACTGTTCACCATAGACTGTATACTAGTGCACAGTCCGTCACGCGGCAGCAGCGCCCTCAGCAGCTCGCGCTCATACTCACACTGGAAGCACTTTGACGTAACCAGAATCCCAAAGATGGCGGCTCTAGTGGGTGAGTGATGTTTTTGCTAAGACTGTCCTCGTTTTAATATGCATTGCTGTGTTTTCAGACTCGTGATAGTCGTATGATGTAAAACAATAAGCACATAAAAGTGCACTACTCGGTGGTTGGAGTGTGTCGGGAGGCGGGTCGGTAACTTTTGGGAACTGCGCACACTGACCTTGCTGTGTCTGTGTTAGCATAGCGGCTAACCGGGTTAGCTAACAACACCGCTCACATGAACCCCTGATGTAACGTTAGCAGCTGACAAACCAACATTAGCTAACGCATACAAGGACGAGTGTCATCTTTAAAACAATCCAGTGTCTTTTCTTTTGGCTGTCAGCTAAACCAGATTCATCGTTATCCCCAATGTGTCGTCCGACATCAACCAAACTCCCTGTAAAGAAACAGTTACTTTAGTGTCATCAGCTGCATTTGCCATCACATTGAGCTGAGAGTGTCGGTTAAGGACTTTCAGAAATCACCAAGAGCTCGTCTACAGTTCGGCATACACTGGACACCCAGCACACAACACTGCATACAGCAAAATAGAATTAGAAACTGCTGAATTGTTCTCTTGAACTTTAAAATGCGATGTGATAGATGGTCAACAATAATTCTACCACTGAATTACATTTGGCAGATTATCCAGGGTAGCTGAGTGCTTTACAGACAATGAATGTCCAGCGTGTGCAGTAGACTAGAAGTTCTTGTTTCATGCAGAAAGTGTTGCATTTGTTTGTGGCTAAGTAATAGCTTAAGCCACATGTGTATGACTGGTTTGAACAAGACCACTGATGGTCAGCAACATCCACAACACATCAGTCAACATAATACATCAGTAGCTCTGCTCATTTGCAGTGTGTCGCTATTATTATTATTATTATTATAAGCCTATTCAATTTGTGTAATGCTTTTATTTTGCAGCGCCTCGCTTGGCCCTATTTGGCTCCTTTTCAACAAGGTAAGAACCTTCTAATCCTGTTCCATGTTTTTAAAACCTATTTTAATCTGGCCTTGTTAGTATTATGCACTTCACATGAGTTGCTTTTCATACTTAAAATGATTTTTTTTTTTTTTAAATCACGCTGTCTGAAAAACTCAACATGAATCCCCTTATTTCTAACCCAAATTCTTATTAAATTTCTCATTGACTGTGTTGAAGTCAGATTATCTCCTACTGAAGACCAAAAAACAAACTAGCTGAAACAATCCTCACTCAGAGGAAGCATTTTCTGTTAGGGTTTTTTTTTTTTAGCAGCAGCAGCAGGAGTGTTCAGCGTGCCTGGTGTTCAGAGGAAGCGTCATGTTAATCCTTTAACGCATCATCAGGTTTAGGAGGCTCAGACAAAATCAGCATCCTCCTCCAAGAAATCTGTCCATCTGTCCATCACACACACAGTGTCACAAAATGATTAAATATCACATCGTATTATTACAATATCATCCTCTTATGAAACCGACTGTTTTTGGTGGTCTCCATTTATTCAGTGACTGTTTTAACATGCAGATATCCGGCAACTACAATTTCAGTTTCCTTCCTGCCATCGTTTTTATTGCTGATATTTCTTTCCCGGCTCTCTCCATCCGACAGGCCCATTTCAGTTTTCGCCATCCAACAGAAGAGCCTGCACAGCAGTGCTAAAAGTGACAATGCCAGCTCAAGGTGAGTTTATGAGAAAGACTCTGTTATATAGACACTTAGTAAACACTCTGCACATGGTAAAGCTCTGCTCCTTCTGTTGCAGCGTGCAGCAAGTGAGAGAGAAGAGCACGGCAGTGGCAGCAGCCAAACCGTCAGCTGTCGCCAGCAGCAAGGGGGAGTATGCTGTCGCCAAGCTGGACGACCTGATTAACTGGGCACGCAGGGTGAGTGCATAACAGGCTGTGTTAACATCCAGCATGTGTGGATTAGACTCAAGAAGGTGTTCTGGGGTTTTTCATTTTTGTTACATTCTGATTTGTCCCACTGAGAATGAGACTATTTGATATGAAGCCACTTGGCTGTAAATAAAGCCAGTGTCCTCTGTCAGCATGTGATGTGACTCCACCATTCCCTGTAGGTGTAGATCTGATGGTGGTGCTGCCTTTTATAAGGAGATCTCTGTTTTTTGTGTCTTGACTGTCTAATGACTGTTGTAATACGTGTCTGACGGTGGTGATTTTTATTTATTTTTTTTAACTTTTGAGGACAAGAGAGGCAACTGAGAGAGGTGAACAAATCAGAGTTGTTGCACCGGTGTTGGGCCTTTAGTCACATTTACAGCTGAACACACACTGAAACAACAAACGTCTCAAAAATCGTGACAGCATGGCAGATGCAGGTTCCTAAGTGGACTCTAGCAGTGACTGACTGATGAGCAGTGGTTGGGTACTGACTTAACAGCACCACAGACGAGTCTATGGCCTCTGTCGTACAGACTTCCTGCTGGTCTTTACCTGTTTGGACAAGATGTTTCAACATTAATGTATAGGAATTTGTTTTGGATAGATCCAATAAGTAACTCTTGTTTCTGTGAAGTGTTGTGTTTACTTATTGCTGCTGTGCTTCCCCCTCAGAGCTCTATGTGGCCGATGACCTTTGGCCTGGCATGCTGTGCGGTGGAGATGATGCACATGGCGGCTCCCCGTTACGACATGGATCGCTTTGGAGTTGTGTTCAGAGCAAGTCCCCGACAGTCCGATGTCATGATTGTGGCAGGAACACTGACCAATAAAATGGCTCCAGCTCTGCGGAAGGTGAGACAGGACTGATGTAACTGCAACAGTAGCTGCTGTAATAACAGGATGAAAGAACAGCCACCATCATCAGCATACATTTTACATTTTCGTGCAGTTCAAGTGATGATGCGTCAACACCACAGCTGTTGTCTCAGGTTTGACTCATCTCTGTGAAATGGAGGAAAAATGATGGGAAAATGTGTTTCAATGCATAGTTCATAGACACTGTCAGTGCTGTCTGTCAGACATTTCTGGCTGCAGGATGGGAGCTGTGAGAACAGTATAGCTGTGTAAATGCTGGATGGATTATGACCAGCCTGTCGGTAGATTTGTAGACTGGCATGAATCCTTCCTCCAGCTGAATCTACAGATTAGTTCTTAGTCAGACATTGCATAACAGCGACTGAACCGCTTCTTCTATCCAACAGGTGTACGACCAGATGCCCGAACCCAGATACGTTATTTCCATGGGAAGGTAAGTTTAACTTTGGAGCAGATTTCCTCTAATCTTTTTATCCCAACCAGGGATGTACTGATCAAGTTTTTTCTCCCTGATCTGAGTCCTTTAATATTGAGCCGCTCTGACTCAGAGACCAGATATTTGATTAAAACACTGAAGCACCTGATTCCAAACTGTAAAGATGATCGTCTCAAATTACTGATGCGATGTTTAGAAAAGTGTTACTAAAGGAATACAACTCCCTACAATTGATAAGAAGCTATCATTTAGACAGGAGACATATCGGTCTGTTTGAGGCGTCAGACAGACACAGACACACTCTGGCAGTTGTACAGTGGCGTTACAGAGCGGAGCTTCTTCCTACGCAGCTGAGAACAGACACAACAGACAAGTTTCATTTTGACCTGCCGTCAGCCAACTCATAAGTTAACATCGCTCACTGACATCTGATGTGATCAGCAGATGGTCTTTGTTGACTGAAAATGCTGCTTTGTGAATGTTTTGTACACTGATCTTGGCTAATGAGAAGAGAGAAAACAGATTCATTAAAGCTGGAGACAGTTGAATCAGCCACGTGCAATAAAAATAGTTATTATATTTGCACTCGTTTTCACCCTGGCGTCCAGTGAAATGCTTACAGTGTAGAGTCCAGCTATCATTAATGAGAGCAGGGCTTTACCAAACACCACCGAGTCCTAAAAGAGAACAGAAGAGATTTTGCGTCGCTTCGTTTTAGCAAACACATCCCTATAAAACATGCCTGGATCATGGCTGGATCTCCCGAGCTGGATGAGCTCAGGATACCTCTGGTCTTGACACCTGTCAGGATCTATTCTGTATCTTTAAGCATCCTCCATTCACCAGGCCTCCACATGATCACTGTGTTTCTGAATGTTTAGTTCAGCTGTTTGTGTTTGTTCCTGCCTCCCTGTTATGTTGTTCCTACTGTGTGCAGCCAGTTCTTGTTACACCGTCACCTGTGAGGCTTGATCAGAGTCTGACATAGAACCAGTGAAGTTGTTTGCAATATTGTTCTGGTTTTTTATTTTTTTTCTGTTTCATAACTGTCAATTTTATTGCGCACAGTGTGTCAGTAACTAGAAATGTCATTGTTCTTTTCCTCTTCCAGCTGTGCTAATGGAGGAGGCTACTACCACTACTCCTACGCTGTTGTCAGAGGCTGCGACCGAATCGTACCCGTGGACATTTATGTTCCAGGTAGATTTTACTGCACTCCTATAAGGATAGAAAATATAAACACATTTAACAAAAAAACCCCCAAAAAAATCAATGGACAATACTCTGCATTTGAAGCGGGACATCTCAGTATGCACTACATGTGTGCAGACAGGTTTGGACTATTGGACTCTATAGTCACAGTTTAGGGGAATTAAACATTATGGTGTAGTTTAAACTTGGTGGCAACAGTTTGGGGAACTGTTGTTTCTGTTTAAACATGAGCCAGGTCAATACAGCAGTAACAGGGTAACTTTGAACCCCTTGGTCTGTGTTTCCAGGGGAGCACAGGTTAGTGAGATGTGATGTCTTTTTTAAAAATTATTATTATTATTATTATTATTTTCATAGAATTTTTAAAAAAAAGAAGAACTTTTTCGATCCAGAATTCTCACTTCTGATCCACAGCTGAACTGCTCTGTGTAGCAGATGTAAGAAGTCCTACTGTTAGTGAGATCTAATCCATGATCAAAGTCAGACTTTTTTAAACCGGCTCCAGACCTCACTATACGGGTGATGAACCTCACTAATGCTCTCGGGGTTGAATGAAAGCAGATCCTGTGGAACGCCGTCACAGAACAACAGAGGCTGGAACAGCAGCAAATTAAACCGAAAGACATTTTCAATGATCACTGTGTCCTCATACTTTTGATCAGACACATCCAGTCCACATTAGCTCTAATTTATTGTCATATTGTTGTACTCTTATTGTCCAGAGGGCTGCACTATAAAGCCAGTTTGACATAGCCGGGCTTTCTTTGTGTAAGCCGGCTCGACAAAAACAAAAGCTGCCATCAGGGATAATGAGTATCACAAAGGTGGTTCTAAACTTTCTTTGTCAACTCAGACTTTCTGCTTCAGACTCTGTGTGCGTTCACATAACAAGGGGCGTTTAACGCATCACGTGACTCTTCTTCTGCACAACATGAAACCATCGTGTGCAGCTGCTTCAGTGAGGAATATAAAAAAATATGACGGTAAAAAGCGCCGCTACTGCTCATGGTGCAGACAGGAACGCTGGTAGAAAACTGTTAAACGTGTTCGTATGTAATATTTTACTGATGCAGTCGATTATTTCCACTTGACAGCAGCACGTTAAAGTTAAACTTCATACATTTAAACTTGATGTTGTATTGAAGTGCATTTAGGTCTGACACTGTCCCATAATGCAGGAAATCACTTTAATTTTTGGCAAAGCGGAACTAATGTTGTTGACTGAATATTCTCTGTAATAAATACCAGCAGAACAATCCATTTTCTAATCTGTGTTCTAGCAGCTCCAGTAGCAGCAGTTTAAACGGACTTGACAGCAGATCAGAGCCAAACATAAAAACATATTTATGTGATTTCTGCATCGCCAACTAAATACGTGTTGGGTTCCCATGGCAACATGATGCATACAGCGTGTGATGCTGTAACTACACGGCTTCATTCAGTGATATTAGTGACGCACAGCTCAGCATGTTTGCAGATAAAACATTTGGTTAAAGGGAGATGCTCTTTCCAGCCGATTTTAATCCGAAACTCTGAACATAACCTGCTCCTGACCAGTTTAGCTCCACAGCATCAGTTACCATGGAGATCTAGCTCCACAGCATCGGTTACCATGGAGATCTAACCAGGTAAAGAAAGAGCCACCTTCATGACACTGAAAACTCGTGACTTTAAGCCCAGCATACCTGTTAACCCACTAATCTCACTAAGTAGTGCAGCCCTCAGAACTCTGGTCTGTAAGTGAGGCTCATTTCTGAAAACAAGAATTCGTGCCAGCAGCAGCAGTGCAAGTGTCAGTATTAGTAACTGTGTTACCAGCAGTAGTGACTGTTATAAATGTGTTCCCAGTAGCACCTTAATTACCTGAATTATTGATCACTATAGCCAGTATAATTTGTGTTGATAGATTTAAGTTGTAACGTCATGTTTACGTTTTGTTGATGTTCCTGTCAGTGTGATTATGATTTTGGCAGCAACAACGATGTGAAGCTCAGTCAGCCATCATGGACATCAATGTGTCACTATCCTTTACCAGATCTATAAATCAGTTTCTATGTACAGTTTATTTTCATGTTTTTATTCAGACGATACATAAGAATTATTCTGTTTGTGCCCACCTGTCTTCAGGTTGTCCTCCCACTGCAGAAGCTCTGCTCTACGGGGTTCTACAGCTGCAGAGGAAAATCAAGCAAGAGAAGAAGATAAGCATCTGGTATAGGAAGTGAATGTGTAATATATATGAGTGTGTCTGGTATGTAAATGTTTTATTTCATTTGGAGCGCCGCTCCTCCTCCACGTAGAGCTGCAGGAACGATCTTAAACAAAGACCTTGTTGTAAATGACACACTGCTGCTTGTTTTCAACCAAACACAGCAGCAGCTGCTCACTTCAGGTTTTCTGCCTCTTTACGGCAAATTCTGTTTGTTTGACAGGAAAACACTTGTTGCTTGTGTTGGGATTTAAACTACAGTTTTAAATTACAATCATCTGTCTTCAAGTAGCCATATGCAATACGGTCCTCATTTAAAATATCCAGCTTTCAATCTGTCATAGACATAAGATATGAGTGGCATGCTATCCTACATGTTATTTTCAATAAACTGAGCTTACATGAAAACCCATTACTGTAACATCTGTTGTGTTATTTTTGGCGCTGTGGCCACCAGAGTGTTTCTCGGCCACCAGGTGGCTCCTGTGATCACCAGCTCTGACCTTCACGGCTCTTTGTGGACGCTCAGCAGTGGTTAGAAGCAAAAATGCATTTTTATTATGTTTCACTCTGAGGCCGCCGTCTGTTGAAATGTGACGAGTGGAAACTGCTTCGTACCAAATCAGACGCAGCGTTTGGTGAATTCAGCCAGAAGCTAATCTGTGCAAACGTTACAGTAAAGCGGCTGCAGTAATTACGTATGCAGAGCTTCTTGTGTGCAGGAACAGTTTTATTCCTGTTTGCTGCTGAATGATTTGTAGTTTGTTCTAAGCTGCTCTGGTTAGCTGCGTGCATCGACCTCTGATGGCTGCAAAAAGGGGGAAAGACTTCATGTTGACCTTTCCTGTAGACTGGTTAATGTTTTAATGCTTTTAAAAATTCATCTACATATTGTATACCAAGCTGTGGTTACACATTGAAACCCTTGAAGGAGGCAGCAGGAGACACGCTCAGTCATTACATTTTGATAATATCTGAGGGTTAAAAAATAATCATACATGTTTGAATATGTCTAATTATCTGATATATAAATAAGCGAGGTGATACAACCTGAGTGTAAAAAGCTTCTACATGAGCCCAAACACATCTGTAGCATGTCTGTAGCTTCTTGTTGGTTGTCAACAGTATGAATATATCTGTGATGAGCTACAACCGTCCAGTGGCATTAGCTATACAGGTTTATTGGCTTGGCTTTAGTAATCACACTGCAACATGGACACGAGCCACAAGGATGTTCAGCTTCAAATCAGTGAACTGTGAGAATATTCAATCACAGTACTTGTATAAATAGAAACCACATGTGACAAATATATACCCCAAATTTAACGATCACACCTCCAGGTCAACACACAGCGCTGCAGGGTGTCGATGAGAACGTCTCGGCCTTCAGCTGTTTTCATTATCAGTAATTCAAAAATGAAAATAGCAGATAGTGAAATATTCTAATTTGCTAAACCCCGAGGAGGCGTCTAATTGTTTCAGTCCGACAGTGGTCGCCTGTCGGCCTCTCGGGTGCCGAGTCGTGATTCAGACCTGAGAGCCAGCAGCTGCTGTCGTTTCCCACCTGGCTGCAGCCTGCTGTTGCATCATCCATCCATCTAATGATTAATGAGTCCTGGCCAGGTGCTAACTTGTTCCCACATGCTCAGGTAACACACGCCGTTATCTCCTGTACAGCCATAAATTAAAACATGTAACGCGCACGCTGATGTGCTGTTTCTTTCATCATGCAGAGGGACAACATGGAACACAAACCGAGTCTAATTGACCTAAACGACACCAATACAGACGACTGTAAGAATAAACGGTTCGGTTTTCTTACATGTTGATTCTTTCAGAGGCACATTAAATCAAATACAGTACAAATGTCAGGGTTATTTTCTTTTCATGCTATTTTATGCATCTGTTAATCTACTGTTAATATCAATGACATTATTTTTTTATCTGGCAGCTTTACTTACTTTACCTAATGTTTTAGATAACATATGAAGGGAATATAAAATGTGTTTTGTTATGGATGAAACTACCCAGCAGTAGATTTATATACACACTGCTGTGAAATAAAACAATCAGATGGTTCACGTAAGATTATTAACCCTTTAGATAATTGTCTAAAGTTATTGTTCATGTAAAAATATCTAACATTTTATGTTCCAACGTTAAATTCTTCATCAGTTTTAACAGCTTTTAGTGATGGGCACAATTCACATGTGCCAAAATGTGCACAACATTATCATTGTGCTTTTTTTTTTGAAAAACAATTTCCCATCAAAAATAAAATAAAATAAAAAATAAAATAGACAAAAACATCTTTCAGAACATTAGGGGGTGACCATAACATTGTCTTTAAATGTTGAAGATCAAAATTAATTTTGGTTTTTAAAAATGTTTTATGTACTCATTGTTCCCAACATGCTCCAAACCCGTCTTGTTTTTTTTATAAACGCTGTCATCTCATCCATTTCATAAATATCCAGTGTTATATCCCTCCACACTGTCCTGTGATAACCATTTCTTAGTTATAGGTTTCTTACTTGCAACCAACAAAACATCCAAAGTAAACAGTTTTTATTCCAAAAGGAGTTACACATGTCAAACTGACTTGCAGCGCTCCATGAACGTCATTCCAACACTGTCTGATTAGTGGGTGGTCCCAGAGGATATGGAAGCACGTTGGTCTCCACACTTCCTCCAGCAGATAGGAGGACTTCCATCACAGTGTGTTTTCTGACACAGTGATAAAATATCTTATCAAGGTTTTCAAATACTGTGAGTTTGTGCATTTCCACTTGAGTTTCCGTGTATCGTTTCCAACTTTTTAAATGGCAAAGATTTGCTGCTTTTTTTTTTCTTTTTTAATCATTTATCTAATTTATTTGAGTCATATTGAGGCTTGGACGGTTCTTCTGAGTTTTTCCAAACTGAATAATCCTTTAAATTAGAAAATAATCAGCGGATTTATAAATGATAGAAACACTAGTTCGTTAGCAGCAGTAAAATGCTGCTCACACATGAACGCATGAGTAATAACAATCTAATAGCATTGACTTTTAAAATCACATTTTTCATACTATTTCATCAATGCAGGACTTTTACTTCTAACCAAATACCTTTTCCAGTGTTGTATGAGTGTTTTTTATTGAAGTATAGCATCTGAACACTTTGTCCACCGCCGGCTGTGGAGGCTGCACTCCCACCACCGACAATTCTCGCACTCATTTGTCATTTTTAATAGTCGGATCTTCACGCAAATAACTGCTTATTTTAATAATAAACCTGATAGATTGCACTTCATAAAGGTTATTACAAAGCATGTGTTTGAACACAGAGTGAAATATTTATTGCTCGGGCTAAAACTGGGCTGAGCTTGGCAAGAAAGAAGCTGTGTGATATAAGACCTAAAACAGGTGAGTCTCAGTGGGGCGTGAAGGTATTTTTGGTGGTTTCGGTTTGTTGTCGTGTCACATATTTTGTTACAGAAATATATCAGTGGATACATACAGCTCAGTCTGCTGGAACAAAGCAGCTACACGACTACCGACCACGAGAAACTGCAGTTCTTTATTAGTCGAGAAGTTGCGTGAAATCTTTGAAGTGCTAAAATAAACACACGAGGCTCTGTTAAGTGGGTTTATTGAAATGTGGCGGAGTGAAATAAACGGATGAGGGTCACGATAAAAGGCACATTAGAGTAAAAAAGAAAAGTAAAAAGAAGATTGCAGCATTGTCTTTGGACTTTACTCTTTTACAATGCTGGGGGTGATCATCTTCTTGAAGGAGTAGTATTTGCATTCGGTGGGCGGTGCAATGTCCATGGTGGTGGTGCTAATCTTCTCCTTCTTGAAGCCGGCTTGCAGCAGATGAGGCACCTGGGTCTCCTGGCAAATCATTAACAGAGAGAGAGGCGGTCAGTGTGAGGAGGTTCACGGCTTTATCGGCCTCCGTGGCCCGACCCTGTTTATCATTAACCTCGAAGAGATCGCTGGCGCCTAATTCAGTGTGCGCCGACACGGACAGCTATCACTTAAAAGACTGTAAAGAGTGCTGCTGTAGTCCACGTTGCAGGACAGGAAGAACAATCACGCTCTAGATTCACTTCAGGGAATACGTGTTGATGATTCACATGTTCAGCTCCTACAGCACACTGATGTTCAATACAAGTCAGTGTTCAGTCACTTGAGTTTTTTCCTCTTTTTATGCCGCAAAAATGACAAGATTCTGTATTTACTGCATCAAACATGAGACATTTCTGCAGTTAACAGGTCTTAGAGCCGAAACTTTCTTTCTTCTGCTGATGAAAATGTGAAATAAAAACCTTTGGGTGCATCTGGATCATGATCTTGACTTTGCATGTTTGTCTTCTGGATTCGTGCAAATGCCAACAGTGGCTGCAGTATTAGTGACAACAGCATTGTCCTACTTGTATGCTACTTGTTTCAAGTATCCAATGCACTTACACTGCAAAAGTGGCACGACTGAGCATTCTGGAAAAAGTCAGCATGTCTCATAAAAACACTTGGTTTTTTCAGTGATGCACATGATCCAATGCATGTATGAAATGCCGGAGCTGCTCATAGCTGTGACACATTAGAAAAAAAATGTGAAAGCAGCTCTCGAGAAACATCTTGCTTTCTCTTTGGAAAGTTAAATGCAGCATCGATCCTAAAGATGCAGTTTATTGAATCGTTCATGCGATAAAACACGTTGATTTCTTGTCTGGACACAAGAGATTATTGGAGTTTGACATTTTGAAATACCGTTCTGTGCAGAAAAATGATGGGTAAAAAAACTAAGAGCACAGCGCTGTAAACGGTTCAGTTCTAGATTATTCTTGTATTATTTGTCTGTGACTGAATCAAGAACCAACCTCAAACATTTTGTCAATGTTGTCGTATTTGCCCTTGAGCAGCTCGCCCCAGGAGGTCAGGTTGCAGTAGGTGAGGACGCCGCCGGGTTTCAGCAGCCGGTGAGCGTGACCCTGCAGAAAAACACCAAGAAACCATCAGTTATTCAGCTCTACAGGCATCCAGATACCTGAAGGAGACAGACGGATCAGGTGTGTCTCTGTTCTGTCCCAACTGCAGCTCAGGAGTTTTAAAGACCCTGATCTCTGTACACTTACGTTTTTTTTTTTTTTTTTTTAACTAATCAGAACTCCACTTTACTCCTGTAGGACTTACTGTGAGTGGATTTCAATGCCTACCTTGATGAAGTCAAACTGGTGAGTGTGCCACGTGTCCTCTGACAGAGGGTATGTGTCATACAGGATGCCTGAGAGAGGAGGGACACAGTGTTAGCAGCATGCATTCAACAGGTCCATCAAACACTTCTACACATCCTTCATTTGTTTTGTCCTCAAGCAGTGATATGCAAAAATGGCTCAGACGCCTCAGACGTAAGTTACGTCTTGAC